TTTCACCCTTTTTTGAAAATAATTTTTTCTTAATCGCTTTTATACTGAATGCATAAAAATAAAATCGTAAGTACGCATTCTCTTGAGTAGGTAAAAGCAATTAATTCTTCACCAAATTTTTACTGCATAAATATAGTTAAGTAACTGTATTCCAGATTCTATTACAGACCATGCATTACAGCAATGAAGAATCAGTTCCTATACTCATGGAAGATTTACAAAGAAGCTGAAGTACACTGATGCTACAATTAGTCTTGTCCCAACTAATTTAAAAATAAAAAGATTACAGTTTATCTTATTCTTCTGGGTCAGTACTTCAACAAATCATGATCTTTAACACTTTTATATAAAAAATAAAAATGGGAAAAAAATTTGAGAAATGCCAAATATACAGCCACAACTATTTAAGTTGCAAATCAGGGGGCTGGAGCAATAGTACAGCAGGTAGGGCATTTGCCCTGCGTGCGGCCGACCCAAGTTCAATCCCTGGCAACCCATATGGGCTCCCCAAGCACCACCAGGGGTAATTCCGAGAGCCAGGAGTAACCCCTGAGCATCACTGGGTATGACCCAAAAAACACCCCCTGAGCCCCCAAACTAAACCAAAACAAAAAAATTAAATTGCAAATAACCTCAAAGACAGTAAAAGCTAGGCTCACATTTTAAAATTTATATGCGACTTAAAAACAGTAATGCAAGTTTGGCCAAAAGTAGATTAGGGGTTAGGACACATGTGCACATAGTCTGGGTTTGATCCAGGGCATTATGTGGCCTCCCAAGCATCACTATGACCCTAGAGGACCCCAAGTATTGCCAGGGTGACCCTGGTTATTCTTAGCACTACAGGGCCTGAGCAGTACCTTATCCTTTAGCACTGATTCACTAAATTGGCCACAGATTGCTGGGAGTGGCCCATCGGTTCCCAAAGGCAAAACAAATAAAAAGCAAATTTCAAGTATGATCTAGAACTGTGTATATGGATTATAGATACACGCACACAATCTTTGAAAAAATGTAAATATGATGAAACAGAACATGGCTATACATGATGGTATGTATCATAAATATTTCCTCTTTACAGAGTTTCTGTACTTTTCCAGTTATCTGTGGTACACTACTATAATAATTAGGAAATATATTTTTAAAAGTTTCACAAATTTAATATAATTATAGGTATAATAAGCGTTACCCAAAATAGCTTCAGGACACTTTGCATTTCAAACAATCCAAAATGCATTTCCTAAGTATGATGATATAACTAAAGATAAATCTCCACATTGTTAAAAGAAAAAAATCTAATTTATTTTTAAATTAGTCATGGTACCTTCATTTAGGTTGTCCCACTTAATTTCTGAGTGTACAGATTTAGTTAATATGCTACTAAAAAACATAGGCATTATGATACCTGAAATAATATACTAGTTAAAAATAATACTTTTAGATGTATTAGCATTATCCACACTGACAGTTCAAAATCTTAAATTCTTTTTTTCCCAAATTGTCTCAAATTTACTATCAGTAACTTTTTTTTGAGAAGATGAGGATTTTGCACCTGGAGAAAGTCATCTTACCAAACAACAGACCAGCAATAGCCAAAAAAAAAAAGAGGAAAAGTATACAGAAACATAAACATTTACATGGTCAGTAAAAAATACCTGCAGATGTGCAAGAGAGATAGTATGGGCAATAGATACTACATCTGGTTCCTGGAGTACTGCCAGAAATGACCCTTGAGCATTGCTGATTATGTCCTAGTCCTCAAATAATGAATAAAATGCTGCCCTGATTTGTCAAATATTTCCGATCTAATTGTATATATAACGTCAATGTCTAGAAGCAAAACGAAAATCAAAGGAAAAGTTTAAAGCATTTATTCCTATCCTAATAGAGGAAGGAAGGTGCTAAAATTACATGTTGGGGGCTGGAGCAATAGCACAGCGGGAAGGGCGGGTAGGGCAAGCAGCCAATATGGCCGACCCAGGTTCGATTCCCAGCATCCCGGATGGTCCCCCGAGCACCGCCAGAAGTAATTCCTGAGTGCATGAGCCAGGAGTAACCCCTGAGCATTGCTGGGTATGACCCAAAAAGCAAAAAAAAATAAATAAATAAAAAATAAATAAAATTACATGTTGTACTGCAGAGATATCCCACTAGCTCAGTGCATTTTTTGAATGAAAAAGGCCTAGGTTTGATACCATCACATCACATGATCCCCCAAGTACCATCAGAAGTAGCCCCTGAGCATCACCAGGTTATGGCCCAAACACCGAAACAGAAAAGTGCAAGTGTTGCATCAAAGACGTGACTCAAGTAAGTATATACCTAGCATATGTAACGTTCTATGGTCCATCCCCACACCATGTGTGACTACCTCACTCCCAGCAGATACTGGGGGGTGGTTCCTATTTTAAAAAATTATATATGTGATGTTATATGATTTGACCGTTAAGTCCCAAAACAAATACTTGGACACATTTATAGTCCTCATTTTCTTGAGGTACATTTCAATTAATAATAGCTTTGATAATAGCTAGGAATTTAAAGGAATCCCTCCCTTCCTCATTCCCTCCAAGATTTGATCATAGCTAGGGACTTAAAGGATTTCCCTCCCTCCCTCCTTCTCTTCCCTGCTTTACCACATGCAGCAATGTTCAGGTCTTACAACTGGCTCTGAGCACATAGATCATTCCTGGTGGAGTTCAGGGGACCACAGTGATGCGAGAGATTAAACCAGGGTCAGCCATGTGCAATGCAAGTGCCTTAACTGCTGTACACTCTCCCTGCCCTCCCCCCAACCCCCCTGCCCCAGCTATATTTCTGGGCTTTCTGCAAGTAAGATTACTTTTGTCCTTTCCCCCTTTGACAAGTGGTGTGGCGGGCTTCCCAGAGATAAGATTAGGATCTGGGGGCTGGAGCCTCCACATCATCAATGAGATGATGATGTGGAGCTGAAGGTCCAATGCTGCAAACCTGTGATATGAGCTACGTCCAGTGGTTCTGGGAGTAATCAGAGTCACATGAGGTACTAGGGACTGAACTTAGAGTCTCTGATGCGAGGCAAGCACTCTATCACTCTGAGCTGTTTGTCTGACCCATTTTTGTTTCTCCTAATAGAAGAAAGGTGGTAACTGAAAATTGAAAAACTTAAAAAAAAAATTTATGGAGCTGAAGGGGTAGCACACGGGTAGGGCGTTTGCCTTGCACACGGTCGACCCGGGTTTGATTTCCAGCATCCCATATGGTCCCGAGCACCACTAGGAGTAATTCCTGAGTGCATGAGCCAGGAGTAAGCCCTGTGCATCTGCCGTTGTGACCCAAAAAGGAAAAAAAAAAATTATAAAGTCTTTGCATTTGCTATTCTATAATTAAATAGGAGTAAACTTTCTGGCTAAGGAGCAAAATGTTCCTTATGCACAAACTGCTAGAGTAATCTATTATAAACTTATAATCAAAAAAATCCAACTACTCCATTAACCATAACTCACTAATGGTATATCCTGACATAACCAGAAATATGGTTACTTGTGGGTTACTTATCTCTTTTATTTCAATAATCAAATTATTTGCTGCTGACATAGTAGTATCTAAGATAGTTCTTGTGTATGATAAACCTTACTATTTGTTAGAATTATCTGAAATACTTGAATTTTAATGATTCTAAAAGTTTCGTATAAGAAGCCACAGATTTGTAGTAAGGATCTCATGTAAACCCCTTTTTAAATTTATTGCAAATAAATTTACATATTTATTTACAAATTTACAAAATTTACAAACCTCATGTAAATTTGGGCTGGAGCAATAGCACAGCAGTAGGGCGTTTGCCTTGCACGCAGCCAACATGGCCGACCCGAGTTCGATTCCTCCGCCCCTCTCGGAGAGCCCGGCAAGCTACCGAGATTATCTTGTCCACAGGGCAGAGCCTGGCAAGCTACTCGTGACGTACTCGATGTGCCAACACAGCAACAACAAGTCTCATGATGGAGACATTACTGGGCCCGCTCGAGCAAATCGATGAACAATGGGAGGACTGTGACCGTGACCATGTAAATTTATTTGTCTCATTAGGAAAAATAAAAACTATCACATTAATTTGATGCTTAACCATTAGCTATCTAATGAGATTTTAAAAATTAAGGCCCTATATGAAAATGGTAGCACTTTCTGATTTAAGAATCAAGGGACTCCAGGTTTAATAACATGTCCAAGTATACACCTCTCCACTAAAAACAGGTCAAAGGCTGCCCCAGAATCAACATAGTAAAGTCCTCTTGAAAGAGAAAGTTTAAGAACTGGATCTCTATTTGTCCATTAATATAAGCAACATTGACAGCACATTAGTATATGGTCTACATAAAATACTTTATAGGAATTCCCCTTATCCTGGGAGGATATATTCTAAGACCTAACTGAAATCACAAACAGTAACACACCTTGTGTGGTTTCTCCCCAGATATAGTTATTATGAATTTTGATTATAAATTAGGCATAGTACAAGATGAATTTATTAATAAAATAGAACAGTTATCACACTGTAATATATGCTATTTGAATGTGGTCAATCTGACTCTTAAAATATCTAATTCTATCTAATTATTCAAATCATGACTGAACACAGGTAAATAAAGCCAAAAAAAGTGAAAACACAGATAAGGAAAAGCTGGTGGCTGGTTTATGATTTTTATTTACCCTGTGCTATACTCTCTTTGGGGGGAGAGATATGCTCATTGACACGGACATACAACACTTCTAAGGTTTTCTGCCTTGATGATGATATAAATGGCAAAATGAAGATTCAAAGACATAATCACATGAATACAATTTCAAGCTGATACCTTTACTTATTTCTAAACATTCAAAACTCTATAAAAACCCTCAAAGCCTTTAAATGCTAGCTTTATGTTTCCCTAAAAAAACACTCAAGTAGTCAAAACAATAAAGAAAGAATTCTTTTATTAAATATAGGACTTATGACTTCCTATTAAGGAAAGATATTCACTTACCTTCTTTGGGTTGAGCCATAACTGGAGTTTGAGTTTCCTTTGTATATGTTACAATTTCTCGGGGAGGAAAGTCAACTTGTGTAACTTTAGCCATTCCAAGTTTAATAGGTCCTCTTCTAAATAAAATGAACACATAAAACTTTAACAAATGATATATTTTAACTATAAAAAAATCATTATTTTGAAAATAATTAAAAACTGTATCCAAAATTACACTTCAATTTAAATCCCTCCTTTATTTATAAAATTTTAGATGGCAATGCATTGATTTTATTAATGATTAGAAAATAGCAAAAACAAAGATATTTCTGAACCATTCAAGATGCCTTTCACTTTAAAAAGGCAAGTAATTTAACATCTTACAATAAATGCAGGGCACTAGAAGAGTTGCAAGGAAGAGAATCTCAGAGTAGGTCACTGAATAAAGTTGGTTATAGAACTATTTGTAGCAAGAAAGATTCCAGACTTTTTTTGAGGAGTCAGGCATATAAATCTTTTCAGACCGCACGCATTTTAGATCCCTTCACCGAAATTTCAGACTTTTAAGACTGAAAAATCTATCTTTTTGAAAACCTTTTCTTTTACTTAATTTTTGCTGAAAATGATATGCAGTCAACTTAGATTTTAAAGTGAAATATTTAAAATTTCAAATCTCTGTATCTGCATGGTTAATACTGTCTTGACTGACACATGGAAAAAGTTAGGTGCAAATATTTTATACTTTCATTACAGAGCTCCTGAATATCATAAAATTATAAAGTCACTTTTAATTTAAATTGAGGGAATGTGAATGTATTTACATATAATATATACATACACATGTGTGTGTATGTACATATACACACACATATATATTAAAATCAGCTGAAAGTCATGCCTGAGAAAAAAAGACTAAGATGAAAGTATATTTTATTAAATCTCTGAGGGATCTTTTCTTAGTTATTATATTAAATGTCTAAATTCTTAAATGAAGTCAGCTTCTAAACAAACTCCCAAAGAAATTGTCAATTCTGAAGCTGTCTTAAAAGGATATCTAAAAAAAACACTGCTAAAAGTTCCAGAATATCAAGAAAGATATCTGACATACATAAAAATATATATCACTAATATAACTTTTTCATTTATATAGAAATATATATAAATATCTATATATGTAACTGCAGAACATTCTCAAAATCCTGTGCAAAGAAGTATAATAAAATTAGTAGCACTGTCTGTAGCACTGTCCTCCCATTGTTCATCGATTTGCTCTAGCGGGCACTAGTAATGTCTCACAACAAATTATGAGGCTTGTTCTATTGTTTTTGGCATACTGAATATGTCATGGGTAGCTTACCAGGCTTTGCCATGCGGACTTGCCGGGCTCTCTGAGAGGGGCGGAGGAATTGAACCCTGGTCGGCCGCGTGCAAGGCAAACGCCCTACCCGCTGTGCTATCGCTCCAGCCCAATAAAATTAGTACGTTTAAACATTTTTTCTCTAAGAGCTCTATTGTGGCCCATAATGAATCTTTAATGTGTTTTTATTTGAGTACTATTTCAGTCTTTCAAAAAAGGCATAATCAAATAATTAAATGGGAAAATTTAAATATAATTGAATTAATCTAGCATCCTAGGAATAAAAGTTGAAGAACTTCATGTTTTAACCCTTAAGTTATAAAATTAAAGTTTTTATTCACATCTGGATAAAATGGTCACACCAACAAAATAAGGTACAAGTTTCTAATTTTAAGCACATATATAATTTAATAGATTAAAATCACAATACTAGAATAAACAAACTACATATTCTAAGATTACAAGACAAAGGGGTAGGGAGGTAATACCTCACTTATCCAAAAAACGTTTTTTCTAAGAATAAGGAAGCAATGAGAGATAGGAGGAAATTCAAGGCAACATATGAAGTGCTATACCTTTTTTACACACTAAAGTTTATTTATGCTTAGACATGACTCCAAAATAAATTGGTCATGTTTTTTGAAGCTGAAAATTATAAGTGGAAAAAGGGCTATCTGACAATTGGCAGCAGCAAACATTTAAAATCTACATGGCAGCCTAAAAAAAAATTAATGAGGAAGAATGAATTAGTCACCAGGAATCTAGAGTCATCGTGTAGAAAAAAGCTGCTCTGTTCTCAAAACTTCAGAATACATTAGCAAGTTTTAACTTAGAAAAATAAAATAATTTTCTTATTAAGAAACCCAGGAAAGGTTCTTTTAAAAAAAACTACAAAGGATCTGATTACATGTAGAATACATATTAGAAAATGTCTAGGAAGCTTGTAATACTTCTTAGAAACCCTTACAACAAAAATACTAAGAGAAATTTGGATACTTCAATAAGTACACTAAGAATTTCTAGAAAATCAGATACACATTTTCTCACTGAAGGTAGAGAGGATAAATGAGGTGTCACAAAGAAATACATATGCTTTCTTAACTATATATTGCATAGAAGAAATTTAAAGCAAAATAAAATTAGAACATTTTCACAAATAATCAAGTTAATTACAAAAGAGGGAAGGTAATAAATCTATTCAATACCCCAAATCGGAATCTGAGTGAAGCTGAAGAACTGATGGATCTGTATCCCAATGCAGCGTCCTAAATGGTTGTAGGACAACCACGAAGCATTAGCGAAAAAGGCCATAAGTTAGTCAAGCAAATACATTTTGTGAATAGTTAAAGTTAACATACTGTTCACAATTAAAAATGACACGTTCGCGTTAGTAAGGAAAAAATATCAGGTACCACTCAATGCTCTAGTGCATGCAATATGCGTCAAGGGTTCAAGATACAACCATACACCCGGAATAGTTAAAAGACAGTCTTTTCAGATTAGGGGAAGCTATTATAGCATAATAAAGTGGATAAGAACACAAGAGAGCCAACAACCCAAACAAATCATTGTTTCTGAAAGGTAATGAATAAGTAAGCAATAAAAACAGCTTTTAAAATTAAGCTTCCTAATGAAAAAATTAGTAAAAACATCTTAGTTAAACATGAAATCTTGCCCAAAGCATTAAACATGTGTAGGAAATTGTCATATTGGTAAAGGAAATGAGTCAACACATAAGCCTTTCGGTAAGAAAACCAAAGACTATTCCACTGGGATACCAAATAGCTAGAATTTCCCAAATGTGACCCTTCTGTAATTTATGGGTTAAGCACTGCCTTGGGCTTACATGTCATCTGCTTTAGAAAGTAACTAAAGATTTCTGTCTCTAAAAAAGAAATAGAATTTTCCTGGATAAAAATATTTTATGTTCAAAATATTTGCACAAATTAAACTTTTGAGGATTATCAATTCTAAATAAATACTCAGTTGTGTTTCAGCTTTGTCTACTGAGTAAACAGCTTACACAGGATGGTCAACACTTACATCGCATCTAGTCACCACTAGAACAAAAGGTACTTTACCCCAACAGAATTGTTATATATACACATATATATATTTGCCAAATATATTTTTCATATATATTATGCAATTAAAACTGCTGAAATAAGCAAATTTTTAAAATATTTTACTTGTCTATGAATGTATCAGTAAAAACAATTAGATTAACTGAACTAGAGAAAATCTTTACCAAAAGAAAAAAAAAAGTATCTTTGAACTTTTTAAAAAATTTTTTTTAAGAATCTTAGAACTTAAACAAGATTATGTATATGCAAAGAAAGAGCCACAGTGAAGATTTGATTTGTACTGAGCAATCAACAGTAATAAACTTAGGCCTTGTTAATAGAAGGGTTTCAATTCCATACCCTCCAAGCAATGTTCTGTCCGTAGTCTTTACAGTATGAGAGCCCTACCTGTTACCAATGACAAAGTTCCGTGTGGAGGATTTCATTTCAGTCTAAAACCAAATCAGACTTTACCTCAAAATACAGGCAGTACTGGGGCTGGAGCAATAGCACAGCGGGTAGGGCATTTGCCTTGCATGTGGCAGACCCGGGTTCGATTCCCAGCATCCCATATGGTCCCCTGAGCACCGCCAGGAGTAATTCCTGAGTGCAGAGCCAGGAGTAACCCCTGAGCATCGCAGGGTGTGACCCAAAAAGCCAAATAAATAAATAAAAACTGTTTGAAAAAAAAATATAGGCAGTACTAAAAACAGACTATAGACAATGTAGGATTCTATCAAGGGAAGGTACAGGCATATAAGGTTAAATTCCAGTATAGTCCAAAAGCTTGACAGACAAACCAATCGAAAACAGGACAAAGAAAGAAAAAGGAACTAAGGCATGAACCAGCTATCTAAAGTTTAAGAAATAACAGAAGTGACTGAGAAAGTGAGTTAGAAACTAAGGAAATGCATTTTCCTAGTCTGCAAAGTGAGAGAAATACTTTTCATGTGACTTTTGTTGGGCATGGGGGTGGGTATGGGAGAGGAGTTTGGCCATAACCAACAGTGCTCACAGCTTGCTTACTACTGCAGTGCTCTGTACTCAGTCCTGGTGCTGCTTGGAGGACATATGTGGTGCCGGGGATGGAATCAGTGTCAGCAGCATGCAAAGCAAACTCTTTACCCTGGCTGCTGCAATATCTCTCTGGTCTTCTCATGACTTTCTATATCATAAGTCATAGTTACTCTCAGGCTCAAAAGGAATTTCTGGCTTTTAGAAGCTGTGATTCAGACATATTTCAGTATCTTACTTTGTAATGTCTACATAGGTTCTCCTTTTCCCCAAGAGTGCTAATCTTATACAGTCAGCTAACAGAATGGAGTTATGTGCAGGATCAATAGGTCAAACATCTTTCTGTGTTTTCCGGTGGTATTTCTTTCTATTCTTTGTCATCATACCATAATCTGGTCAATTCAAGTTCATACTATTTCATTTTTATATTTAGAATTTTTTTAAAAAAAACTATATATTTAGAAAGGTCAACAATTTACTGCCAAAGAATACCAATATTAATAAGAGGTGATACCAAATAGTACTAATATTAATCAATACATTATAATATCTCAATAATGGAATCAAAGAGGACTTAGAGGAATTGTTTTTCACTCTTGGTGTGTTTAAATATGAATACCTATAAATGAACATACTCAGCACTCCTGAAAATGTCTGTACTCTCAAAGGCGACAATGAACATGAAAAGATTTAGAAGATACAGGGTTACCTCATCCAAAAGAAAATACCTTCTTTTCTATTGTGCTGATGAGAAAGGAATTTTAAATTCACTTGCTAATAAGAGAAAGTACCCTTAAAGACATTAAAATGTTTTATGGGCTGGAGTGATAGCACAGCGGTAGGGCGTTTGCCTTGCATGCAGCCAACATGGCCGACCGGAGTTCGATTCCTCCGCCCCTCTCAGAGAGCCCAGCAAGCTACCGAGAGTATCTCGCCCGCACGGCAGAGCCTGGCAAGCTCCCCGTGACGTATTCGATATGCCAAACACAGTAACAACAAAGTCTCCAGTGGAGACGTTACTGGGCCCGCTCGAGCAAATTGATGAACAACGGGAGGGCCTTTACCTTTTACCTTTATCTTGGAGCTTGTTAAAAATCTAAACAAAATTCCCACACTTTAAACAAAAGCACAATATCTTCAAAGGTTTTCAATAAAATGATTATCTTTAAATTAATGACACTGGCCAGAGAGATAGCTCACTGGGCTGGCGTGCACGCTTTTCATGCAGCAGGCTGGGATTCCTTCCACGGCACTGTATGGGTCTCCAAGCACCACCAGGCGTGACCCATAGCTATGAGCTGGGACTAGGCCCTAAGCACTGCCAAGTCGGCCCCTATTCCAATAAACTAATAATCTATGTTACTAAAAACTTCATTAGAAGTCTCTAGTCAGTTCCACAAAGGCAAGGGCCATGGAAATTACTTTCAGTGGTCACCTGTAGGACTCGACATCAAACTGGCATTTTGATGACTATATTTAAATATTTTTTAAAAAGACCTATTCTCTGGCTAGGGACATAAGTCAAAGGGCTGGGGAGAATGCCTGACATGGAGTATATGACCTCCAATTCCAAAAGAGCCCTGGTGGCCCCCAGCACCATTGGGTCCAACTGGAGCCTGTGGTCAAGTTGAATATGACTGGGTGAAGGAAGCCCCATGGCCTGCTGAGCACTGTGTAGGAAGCCCCCTACCAAAGGAAAGGTATGTACTGAATGAATTTTCTAATAGTACTCTAATAGTCTCTAGATTTCCTAATGAAACTTAGGAGCACAAGCTTTAATTCACATTATTTAAAAAAACAAAAATGAGTAGGTGTTATAGTATTTCTGAAATCAAACTTGCTGACTTTGGATGAAAGTAAGTTTTCACTCCTTCAAAACTCAGATCACTAAGTCAGATAAATAGTACATGCCCTGTATGTGGCTAGCCCAGGTTTAATCCCCAGAACCACCTATTGTCGCCTAAGCACTGCCAGAAGTGAAGCCTGAGCGTAGAACCACTAGCAGCCCCTGAGAACTTCCTGGGGTGGCCCTAACCCCCCCAAAATCAACAAAATCCAGAGCATTTTAGAATAAGCAGTATCTACACAATGTATAATATCAAATAAATTTAGAAAGTTACTTTTTCTTAATTTGGGGGAATGATTTTACTATGGAAATGTTGCAGAAAGGAAAAAAATGTTTAGCAAAGCAATACTAACCCATCAGTACTAAAAAGTTGAGGCTAGAGAGATAGTACAGAGATTAAGGTGCTTCCAAGCCCAGTCTGATCCCTACACCATATGGTCCCTCAAGCTTCACCAGGTGCAGTCCTAGAGGTCCCCAAGCATCACTGGGCGCACAGCTCTGGAGGTCCCCTCCGAACATCATCTAGGTGCCCCAGGTAATTACTGAGAGTGCAGGGCCCAGCTTGTAGAAACAAATTCAGCCTTAAAATGAATTCATACTACATAAATTTAGTCTCAATCCATAATAAAAAGGTAAAAAGGTAAAGATCCTCCCGTTGATCGTCGATTTGCTCGAGCGGGCCCAGTAACGTCTCCATTAGAGACTTTGTTGTTACTGTGTCTGGCATATCGAATACTCTCGGTAGCTTGCCGGGCTCTCCGAGACTCCATAATAAATACTATTTTATAAGTATTTATTTTTAAATGTTTCGGTTTGTCTTAAATAATAGTCATATCACGTACCTTCAATAACAGTATTGTTCAGAATTGCAATTTTGGTTCTATGTACAGGACAGTTTTATAAAGCTCATCTCATATTCAAGATGGTAGATTCTTAGTAGGGCTGGAGGATAGCACAGAGGTAGGGCGTTTGCTTTGCACGCAGCCAACATGGCCGACCCGAGTTCGATTCCTCCACCCCTCTCGGAGAGCCCGGCAAGCTACCAAGAGTATCTCGCCCTCACGGCAGAGCCTGGCAAGCTCCCCGTGACGTATTCGATATGCCAAACACAGTAACAACAAAGTCTCCAATGGAGACGTTACTGGGCCCGCTCGAGCAAATCGATGAATAACGGGAGCACAGTGATCCTGTAGAGAAATTCTTAGTACTGACTTTTGGGGTTAGATTATCTAGTTCACTACTTCTTTTTCCATATCTTTTAAATACCCATTAACAACTATTAGTAACTTCAATCAGAGGGGCTCAGGTAGGAAAAAAATAACATTTTAGTTTAGGGGCCAGAGAGATTGCTCCACGGACTGGAGCATAAGCTTTGAATGTAGGAGCCCAAAATTCAATCTCCCTCAACAGTCTCCCAAGCACTGCCTAGAGTGATGCCCCATACTAGGAAAACATTTTGTTGGGGGTTACAATCAGGAATTCTCAGGGCTTACTCCTGGAGGTGCCAGGGGATTATAAACAGTGGCTGGGATCAAACGTGGGTGTGGCGTGTTCAAGTCAAGTACTTTATTCTCTGAGCTATCTCTTGGCCCTGCCTCATCCCAACATTTTAGTCTCATTAACAGCTGTGTGAAAGGGCCAGAGAGAGTGCTCAGCTTTGCATGTTGGAGGCCTGAGTTCAAACCCCAGGACCACATGGTCTCTGGAGCACAGAGTCTGAAGCAGTCCCTGCTAGCTCTAAGCCAAAATCCAGACAAACAAATGTCTAAAAGTATAATACTCGAGGCACCAGAGAGATAGTATAGAGGGTAAGGCACTTGCCTTTGCATCCCTGGCATCCCAAAATGTCCCTTGAGCCCTGTCTCGCATAATTCCTGAGTCTAGACCCAGTAGTATACTCCCGAGCATCAGTGGGTGTGGCCCAAAAACTGAGGAAAAAAAAAAATCCCTAGCACCTGGTATCCAGTGTGACTTTCCCCAATAATTCACCAATATAAACTAACATTAAAAGAAAAAAAAAAGTAATCTGGGCTGGAGAGATGATCCAACAGGCTGAGCACTGGTACAACACTGAACCATGTCATGACATGGTTCTCGAGCACAGCTGGGAGTGACCTATGAACACAAGAGTTTTGGGAGCAGTCACCAAGCACCTCTAGGTGCCCAGCCGTGCCCAGAAAACAATCTTTAAAAAAAAAAATTGTATAAAGAAATTTTCCTGATGACATTTAACTTTCTCACTCAAAAGTAGGATTCTGAATACAAATTTTCACCATGCTTAATCTCATTTTAGCTATAATTAAAAATTGATACTCAATAAAAACCATTATCAAGTGCAAGTGTATGTGTATGATAAGAGGAATAAATTCTAATACCTCCTAGTATAACCTTTCAAATGAAGCACGACTCTTACTAAAGTTTTGAAAAGAAAGTCCCAATATATCTGAGGATCCTTAGACACAAAACAGGGTTTTGTTTGTTTTTTTTTATTTCTGCTACTTGGGCGACACTGGGCAACACTCAGGATTACTCCTGACTCTGCATTCAGGAATCACTCCTGGGGGTGCTCGAGGAACCACATGAGATGCTGGATATCGAACCCAGTGCAAGGCAACCCTGTACTTAATGTATTATCTCTCATGCCCCCAAAACTGAATCAGTTTTATAAGATGTGAGTTCATAAAAACTGAGAAGCTTAGGAGATAACACTCCCAATGTTTCCTTAGCAATAGATTTAATTCTTCATGTTTTATGCATTATCATTCTCCTTCCTCTTCACACCTCCCCTCCCTCCCTTCCTTCTTTTCTCTCCTCCTCTCTTCTTCCCATCCTCCTTTCCCTCTTCTCTCTATCCCTCCCTCTTCCCCTCTTTCCTTTCATTCCCACATCCAACAGTGCTCAGGGCCTGCTTCCTGATTCCTGCTGGTGCTTGGGGCTTGCTCTTACTGAGCACATGGTGCTCGTGCGACCATGCTATGCTAAAAATAGAACCCAGGTCTCTTGCATGTAAAAGTACGTGCTCTTGCCCACTGAGGTACTCTCCTGTTCTACATTATAGAACATTTTCTATAGTAATTAGAAGGAATGAATTAGTAAAACACAATTAGGCTACTTAAGTGAGCTAAGATTTTTTTTTAAGTTAATAAGGACAGCAAAGAAGTTTTATATTGTTTATACACTAGTATTTAAATACTCAATCTAACATTTACTTAGGTAGAAAAAAATTAAAATGTGTCAGTACCCTGTTTTAATTATTTTGTATTTTTTGGTATTGTCATACCTGGCTCTATACCCAGGGCCACTCCTGGTTCTATGGTCTGGTCTGGGGCCTCATCTATCAGTGTTGAGGGACATACATAGAACTGGAATTCGAACCATGGCTACATACAAGGCTAGTGCTTTTTAACTATTTCTGCACTATCTCTCCAGTCTTAGCACTCTATATTAACATAAAATAATTTTCACAAAAGCTAACCCTTACAACCAAAATGAACCACCATGATCATGAAAGTAACGCAAAAACTAATTTTTTAAATGGGAAAAATATTTTTAGAAGTCTTTTTTTTAATTGAATCACTGTGAGATAGATCCTTACAAAGCTGTTCATGATTAGATTTCAGTCATACAGTATTCCAACACCCATCCCTGCACCAGCCACCACCAGCATCCCCAATTTCCCCATCACCTGCAACATTTTCTTTTCTCTCTCTCTCTCTCTCTCTCTCTCTCTCTCTCTCTCTCTCTCTCTCTCTCTCTCTCTTTCCTTCTGATGACCCCATTTTTTTTCTACAATTTGCAGTGGGCATCAGATACTCGATACCCCCTTCCCCTCCTCCCCCCTTCACTCCCTCCCCCCCTCACTCCCTCCCCCCCTTTTGGGCATTGTGGGCAAAAGCTATTTTGAAACCTCCTAAAGCACTGATAGTATTGAGGCATTAAGTACGTTCTATCACACTGAAACAGTGAAAGAAAATGACTGTACCTGGATCCCACTGCACCATCTCCAGAGTCTTGGCTTCCAGCTTCACTTGGCGTGCTCACAGATTTGGAGGATGGAGACATAGGAGGAGGGACTAAATAGTGAAACAGACAGGTATCCGCTGTTACTACACGGAGAGGTTGCTCAGCTTATGAAGTTTCAAAAGTAATTTAACATGAAGTAATTAACAAAAAAATAAAAAAAAATAATGGCAAACCAAAATACAAAAGTACATGAATGAAAAGGAACAGCAGAAAGAAAAGGAGAAAGACAACATTAATGCATGCTGAAGACTCATGCAATTTCTCTCGCAAAATGCATTTGGGCTTTATATTAGAAACAAAAAAAAGCATTATGGAAGGATGCATCTTCATGTCAGCCAACACCAAATGTGGACACTAATTTTCAAAGGAGATCATTCCTTCTTCCCTAACTAATTCTTTAAAAAAAAATCACCAGATTATGATGCTACGGTTACCAAAATTAAAACTCTAGAAATATATTCTGGTTTTTTAAGACTTAGTTTTAAATGTCATTTTTTTCTAACAATGTTTTCTTACAAAAATTAGTAACAAATGATTTCATTATCCTCCATCAAAACAAAACAACAACAACAAAACCACCCCCAAAAGGGCCTATTTGGAGTTATTTAGAAACTACTATATCTAAAGGAATGTCTCCTTTAAAATATTCATTAGTTTCCAACAATTTGGGTGAAAAATGCACACAGGCCATAAAACAGCATGCCTTTAAACATGATGCATAACATAATGTGATGCATGCAACTGAAACAAGGCAAGATTATGGTAACTTCCTTACCCCAGTATTCAGAAAAAACTGAAGTGTACAAACAAAGATACAGACACCCAAAATATTCTTAATCCCTTCTTATAGAGAAATACATTTTTCACAGTATTTAAAATAAACAGCAAATGTTTTCCCCTAAATCATCACTTTAAGCATTATAAAACAACAGCTGAACGTGCATATTCATGCTATTTCATTTGTAAACATTTGATTACCATTGCAGGGAGTATAGGAGGACCATCACTGCCATCTTCTGGTTAAAGTTTACCAATAAATGTCCCCAATCCCAGTATCTTTTTAAAATAATTTTTTAGTGCACAATATTAAGTGACTGAAATATTTTATGTTAAGTTGCAAGTCCTTCTCTTAGGAGTTCACTGAAAAGAATGTGAGTTCCTAGTGATATAGGAACTAATCTAAAGAAATGTGTACTTAAGTCTTTTTTGGGAACAGTCAATTCATTGAATCCTTAAAATGATGTTTGAATGTTTACATACTGAAGTAAAGATAGTGAGTTTGTTAATATAACAAAACATACAAGTTTAGTATATGGAATTATACCTTAAGCATGGTTTTAAAAGTGATCACCCTTACTTTTTCAATGGCAAATTCTCTGACAACCAACCAGAAGGACAAATTTCTAACTAAAAGGTTTCTTGAGATACAATGGTTAAACCTAGGATAAATTCCAAAAGACTGTAACAATATAGTCAAAATATTCCTAATTTTGAGATTTCCCAGAAATGATAAGACTAGATTACCTTCATCTACTTCATATTGTGAATAGCACTGTACTGGTAAAAGTAGCTAAAAATAACTTGTACTTGAAGTAACATACTGTTCCCCTAATTTCTCTTAGCTTACTATGATTATTTTGTCTCTCTTACTGTAGGAAACACCAAACCTTTGTCTTAAGTTCCAACTGATAAACAGTATTATCTAACAGTGGCCTGCTATTTCTTTATAATGAGGCCTTATATCTTCAGAATATAGATTTTCAAAGAAATACTCTACTTTTATAATATACCTAACTCCAAACTAAGGGAAATAGTTTTTCAGAGTATACATATTCTAAAGATTATTCTCATCAATCTGTAATGAACTAAGGAGTTCTTTCACAATTTGTTTTTATCCCCATTTTGATGACTTGAACTGTCAATTCAAATATCCAATCAAAATGTTTAATAGTATTTTGCTTGGTTCAGATTATATTTTTAAAATGTTAACATCAAATTTGTTTTGTTTGTTTGCTTTGTTTTAGGGCTATACCCAGTGTTGCTCAAGGTTTACTTCTGACTCTGCGTTCAGGAATCACTCCTGGTGGGCCTTGGAGGACACATATGGGGTGCTGGGGAGCAAACCTAGGTTGGCCATGTGCAAGGCAAACACCTTACCAGCTGTACTATTACTCTGGCCAAGTACTTGAAATTCTTTTTCAAAATATGTTAAATAGTAAATATATCTATACAAATAAACACACATACACATATATATCAGCAGATATAGTGACCTAGCCTATTCCAAAATAGAAGTTTCACATATTAAAAATAAAACAAAAGGCTGATGATAAAAAAAAGTTGTTTAGCCAGAAGCAAAAATAAGTCATAATTTCAAATTTATAATTAGATAAAAAAAAATCTCCATTCCAGAATTTTCTTCCTTTTTGCCTTCCTTCCTCCCCTTCCCCCTCTCCTCCTTTTCCTCCCTCTTTCCCTTCCTTTCTTCTTTTGGGGCCGCACCCAGCAGTGCTCAGAGCTTACTCCTGGCTCTGTGCACAGGGATCATGGGGGGGGGGGTCCTCAGAGGACCATATGAGGTACCAAGAATCAAACCTAGTTTGGCTGCATGCCAGGCAAGTGCCTTACCTGCTATACTATCTCTTTGGATCCAGAATTAGATCCTTTCTGCCAAAATACAGTTTTCAAGTCAGTTGATGGAGGACTCATAGAAGATGTAAAATTATTATCTAGTCCATCAACTTCATTATACAATAATGAATAACGTATACCATACAAGGGACAAATTTAAAAAAGAAAATTGCTATCGTTAAAGGAAGAATGTTAATAAGGTAAAAGAGAATAGCAGCATTATTTGGTGACTACCACATTTTAAGCCAATGAGTCATGAAAAATCAATGAATGCAGTTATTATCTAATAAGGCAACAAATACTACTATACTCCAGTTCCAACAAACTACCTCAAGAATAAATAAAAGCACACATTCAGAGAGGTTAAACTAACTAAACTCACATTTTCCCTAAATCCCAGAAAAGATTTACTTGTAGGATTCACTTTTTTTTGTTTGTTTGTTTTTGGGTCACACCCAGCAATGCTCAGGGGTTACTCCTGGCAATGCTCAGGGGACCATATGGGATCCTGGGAATCGAACCCAGGTTGGCCCCGTGCTTGGCAAATGCCCTACCCACTGTACTATTGCTCCAGCCCCTATAGGATTCACTTTTACAGAATGTTGAAGGAAAATAGCTTGAAAAACAACCTGTCATTAATAATCAGCTTTGACCAGGTATCTGTGATGGGATTAATTTAGTAAGAAAAGTATGAAGTAAACAGAAAGATCTGCATCCAGCATTCAGGAGCATGTCAAGAATACTGTAAGGCTGTGACTCTCATTCTCTAGACAGTCTTTCCTCAAGTGGGTGAATCTACCACCCCCCAAACCCCTGAGTGGGCAATGCTGGAAAGACTGGGTATTAGCCTCAGGCACAAATGAGGAAGAGGGGAAGCTTTCTGTTTGTTCTTTTAAAAATAGTAGATTTCCAGCAGAGCACTGAGTAATTTTTTTCTTTTTTGTTTAAAGGGGAAATAGCATTGGAAATTTCTGTCCTATGAGAAAAAAATCAGTCAAGAAGATCTTTTCTACCTGCTTAGAACTTCAGCTTCCAAGGATCTAAACTTTTCATTTTTCTTTTTCATCTCTGAACACCCAGCTGTGCTCAGGGTTAACTCCTAGCTATGTGCTCAGGGATCACTCCTGGCAGGGCTCAGGGAGTCGTATGAGGCGTCAGGGATCAAGCACAAGTCAGATAGGTGCAGGGAAAGCACCTGACCTGCTGTACACTCTCTCCACCACCCCCCGCCCCCCCACTCCCAAGATATAAAATTAACAGTGCTCCATTCTGGGCTGTGAAGAAATAACTAGAGTATTTGGAGGTGGGGTAGAGTTTGGGCCATATCCACAGGTTTTGTGCTCAGGGGTCACTCCTGCCATGTGCTATGGGGATCCTAAGAGGTGCTGGGGATCAAAAAAGGGGCACGCAAGGACAGAACCTTAACCCCTTTACCTTGTCTCTGTCCATAACCAGAGGACCAGAAAACGCACTTAGAAAAGCTTTACATGGACAGAACTACATAAATCTCAGAGATGAGATGGGGTAAAGCCCCATTATTTTCAGAAGAAAATCTCTGGGGCACAAAAAGTCTTACCTAGGCCCTTTCTTTTGCCAGGAAGGGCCAAGAAAATTCAGATAGGAAAAGAAAAGTGAACATACAGGGTAGGAGTGTTGGTAGAAGATAATAAATTGGAAAAACTGTTTCCAGAAAGCCCAAAGTTGTATATTATCTTCTAGCTCATCAACCTTGAGTCCTTAGTGCTCAGTACAGTCTGTAATCCAATAATGCCCTCTTGTGGTCACAGATACTCCTAGTCTAGAACGTAAATGTTTAAATAGTTTTTCATTCCTTATACTGAAGTGTTACTTTAAATTTCAAGTTTTCATTTTATATTTATTTATTTTTTGGGGGGGCCACACCTTACAGTGCTCAGGGCTTATTCCTAGTAAGCTTGCGGTCTATATGGGATGCCCAGGTTGGCCACGTGCAAGGCAAGCACCCTACTTGATGTACTATGGCTCCGGCCCCAAACCTAGTTTTAAAAGGGTTTTAAATCAATTTCTCAAGAGTAGAGGGAAAGAGGTAAAGAAACAGATGAGAAGCAACAGGGGCAGGTCAACTGGTTCAGGTAAAAAAGGTGGTGTTAAGGAATGAAAGAGCCAAATATCCAAACCACAGAGTCAATAACACTGAAATCAAGAGACTTAAACTTTAACAACTGAATTTAGAAAGGTGCCTGTTAAGAGGGCAGGCTACCTGAGGCCACTGGTGGAAGGAACGTCCTCTTCTTTGTCCCTTCTCCTGATAATGAAGTCGAAACATCCTTGATTAATGCCCCCCAAAATGTTTAATTTCCTTTAATCTCTTCAATGCAATCCATAGTATCCAATCAAATTTTTAAAATTAATCAAATTTAAAATTCTATCAAAATACTGTAACGATTATTAATTAAAATTAGGCTACACTTTACACTACACTACACTACACTACACTACACTGATCAATGTCCTATACCCCGATACAGACCCAGGCTACGGAGTAACTGATAATGTATTCTCATCTCCTTCAAAAGATGGTTAAACAACAGTTACATATACAAGATAGTCACTTTTCCTCCCAACCATTAATGTTTAAGAACTCCACATCTGATATGTGATACATATGAAAGCTGTGCCTTGAACCCCCATGGAACTCCCAATGGTGGTAAATTACTTTCCTTGCATGTGTGAGGCCCTGGGCTTGATTCTCAGCACTGCCTACCACACAACACTCTCCTCCCACTGCTCTCAAAGTTGCACCTGAAATTAATTTTCTGAGACTTAAATTTCATCAACAACAATAACAACAAAATCAAGTCATGTCTCTTTTATGAAATGTTCAAATTTCAATCTCTACTACATATTTACCTAAAATGTAACCCGATAACACTATTATAATTGGGGCAAGGAGACAGTTCAAGAGGTAGATCACATATATGCCTAGCATACTGAGGTCCTCATTGTGCTCCCTTGTACTGCATTTCCACCCACAGCACTGCTGAGTATAGTCCTGGTGACCCCTAGAACACCCGCACTGCCTGGCCAAGCACGCCTGGAAGTGGCTCATGCAGCTCTGCTGGGAGTGACCCATAAAGAAATTTTTCTTAAAAAGATCTCTGTTGTCGCTTTTAAAGTGTGATG